GTTATTATAGAATATCCCTGTTAGAATTTCGTTTTGGCCAACCACATTCTATGCGTTGCAAATTCGATTTCGTTTAGAAACAAGCACCTCATCAAATGTTTCACCGAGTGCTTCTATTGATAGCTGATTTTGGCACCTATAAAGATGCTTCTCACAAGGGAAGGATACTTGGTGACCGTGGCCATTTATGATGCTTGTATATCAAAGACGCGCCTTTTAATGCTGATTCAAAAACTGTCTTCCATATCTGCGAAACGATGATGGAGTTATGATTATTTTTTCATAAATAAATTGCGCTACTGCGGAGGGTCAAAATCATCAATAAAATTTTTTCTTTCCTTCTCAAATGCTGAATATAATTTAGTTAAAAACAATACAATAGTATTCCTTTCAAAATTCCATTCAATAGCTTCAAACGGTAACCTAGAACGAGTTTGGTGATTTTAACTACCCAAAAGTACGCAAATTTTCCTACGAAAAAGTTCATAACTTCCTTCAGAAGATCGTTTCGCAGATATCGAGCACAGTTTCAGTATCAGCGTTCTGAGACGCATTTTACGGTGTGCATAACATCCTAATGGCCACGGTCACGGGGTATCCTTTCCTTGTTACATAGTTTTATAGAAGCGGTTGGATTTTGACGCGGAAGAGGCGGAAAAAGACTGGAAAGATTTTTTTGATATGATTTTCATTCTCATGCTCCGGTTCCATTAAATCCGCAACAAAAAGGGATATTTCATTAGAGAATTGCAAAGCATTGCTGCGAGAATCGGAATCTATAGGAATAATATGTGCAAGCCTGGAATAAGAGACAATTTTTCGCTAATAAGCTGTGCCTGCGCATGCAATGTACAGGATGTTATGTGGAGATGCACGATCGGAATGAGCTAACAGCTCTGCGGAAGCGGAGCCCAGGGCCCGGCACAACTGATCTGAAAGCAGACTGGACACCTTTTCGGAGCGAAAAAACAGAAGGGGTATTGTTTTTGTGGGTCCGCATTAACACAAAAACTAGCAAAATCTAGGATTCTAGTCGACGTTCCCAATAAGGGTCAAAAGAAAATTCGTAAAATTCTGCGAAAGTCAGGAGGGGGAGAGGCTTCGTTTTCAAGAAGCCAGAAACGAACTCGTGCCAGGCCCTGCTTCCGTTTCTCGTACTTGAAAAATTAGCCAGAGCATATATGTTTGAGCTGGTGCATAACAACTTTTATCGTTCATTCGTTGACCGTACGGACTGCCGACCGCGTGGCGACTGCGACGCGTGCCTTCTAAACTTGCGAAAAAGTGACAAGTTGGACCGTGGCTTAAGATGAGAAGAATTCTTTGTTTCTTTTCTACATTATAAAGATGAGAAGAATCCTCTGTTTTCTTTCTATTCATCTTTTCTACGAAAACATCATGCACGCGCAGCGGTCGCCGCGCGGTCAGCAGTCGTTACGGTCAACGAATAAACGATACATCTGTGAAGGGACAATGTGCAGCAGATTTACACACATGTACTTATGAACGCGCTCAACTATAAACTTGTGAGGCTGAATGCTGTTTACTAAAGTATACAGAGCAATTGCAAGAAGATGACAATAAGCAGCGGCAACATTAGTGCTTTCAATTCTTACTGCATTTGCACGTGTTCGAATACAAAGGAAAAGGAGGGTTTACAAACATGGCATTTCACAAACAAGGGCTCATTCAAAAATTGTGGCGAGAGTAGAGCAGAATACCAACGCGTGATGGATGGTTATGCCGTCAAAGAGTTTGCTTGGAACCACAAGCTATTTGAATATTATCCCTTTAGCTTACGTATGGACAAAATAAATGTGTGGAAACGATAAACCTCAAATATTCTTTGATGCTACCGTATCAGCTTCGAGCCGATTCGCTTATGTCACATTCTACTAAACTTATTTGAAAACAGTCACAGTAGAACTGAATTTTATGATAATGAAAGAGATAAAAGCAAAGTAGTTGTGAACGTAAAATAACTTATGAAAATGTAAGTAATCTCGAGATATCATACTTTTATAATTCATGCGTCTGCTATTTTGAAACTTCCCTTGCAATGATTTATCCTAATCAAAAGTGGTAGTTGTTTCAAAAATTATAGTGCTCACAGGAAGTGCACCATAATAGCATGCTGGATCTTTTACTAGCACAAAATATTCATATTGCACAGAATCACACGGCAAATCATAAAAAAGCGTGGGAACCAGTTGAGCTTGAGGAAAGAATGAAGAAGAAATATGGCTTGTGTTTCAGTTCCCTAACGGTAAAAAGTTGCGGAGCACACATTTCAAGGAAAACAGGGCCAGAGCTCAGCACAGGATAAGCAGGCTGGATATCGTTTTTGGGACAAAAAACAAAGGGAATATCGTTTTTGTGACCGAAAACATAACATAGGTTATGTTTTTTTTCTTTTAGTCGACGTTTCGTTCTTTGAGGATTTTTACCTTTATGGGTTAGGGTCAAAGGGAAAATATTAAAAATCGTGAAATCGTAAAATTCGTGAAATTTTGCGAAAGTCAAGAAAGACTTCGGTTATTTCGGCATTTTCAAAAAGCCACCCACGTGGTGAGCTCTAAATAGAGAGTCCATAATTTCCATCTACGAATGTAGGACGAAATCATTTACAAAACAAAGAACTAAACAAAGAGTTGGCCAAAGAATAGGAGAAATTTTTCGTATATCTTTGGTTCGCCAGCATCGGTTTTCGAAAAGAAAACTCGGGGAAGATCTGGCAAACCCCTGTATTTGCTGCTAAATGTATATGTTGTAATGACTTCTTTCCAAAGAAAGCAAATTATAGCATATGCAACTTATATAATGCATAATGTCTTTCAATTTGGCAAGGGCATTGGTGATAAGAAGGCAAAGCTAAAAAGCAATGATTTACTCCTTTTCATTTGCTCCTTCGAAATAACTCTAGTAGCACGGAATCGCTAGATCAAGTACTGCATTGGAATGTGTAAAGTATTCTTAAAAAGGTTGCAAAAGGAGACACATCTGTAGAAATGACATGGTAATCTCACCGATTATCGTTTTTATTTTGAGCAAACGATAGGGTAGAGAGAAAGTGGGAGGGTCTCGCTCGAACAATGCAACAGATACTCAGCCTGTGCATGTATTGAAATGTGTATTTGTTGCAGATGTCCGGCGCGACCTCCCACTTTCTACGACATATAGTCCCCTACCTCTGACGATGCCTTTACGGCCATTCTGTCCTAGTTTTCGTACTTTCGTAATCTTCTTTCGCTGACTCATGACAAGACGTACAATGGTCCGTCTACAGTCCATAAATTACCATGGTCACAGTGATGATTGATGGCGGCCGTTTTCAAGTCGTGTTCTCTACTTATACGAGCGCTCGACTGAACTGATGAGGCATCCATTCAGCGTAATTCATGTTGTCTCTTTGAACTCATTTTAAAGGATTAGAAAAATCATCTTTCTGTTAAACATCAAACTTTACGTCATTGTCCTGCTAACTTAAAATTCAAATCCATCAAATACTGGACAACAACATCACATTTGCATTTTGCAAGCAGGGTTCTACGACTGCAGTATTTTTGAACCATAATATTACAATAGGCTGGAGCTTTTAGCTAGAGTAGTTGGTTCTGAGATTCACTATCCTCAACCATAGATCTACGGTAATCACAAGATTTGGGCACGAAGAATTTTTTCCAGCTCAGGATTTGTAGTTTTATATGAAGCTCCTATTTTTGTATGCAACTTGGATGCTTAAAACTGTCGGTGGTTTAGCAAAAGCTCCAAAGCGGTATCTGTGCTTTTGCTTTTTGCTTAAGTCCTTTTCCAAGGTCTCAGGTCAGAATGAAATCAATAAGGAGAAAACGGTTGTTGTTCGACTAATACTAATTTATCAATATGCGAAAATTGTGCTTGTTAAGGATTTCGTACCGAAAATTATGACGAATAATATCAGCTACTTCCACACAGCACCTAAAGGGTTTTTGATCAGTTGGGGCTTACTTATATAGCGTACATAAATCATAAGAGAAAGTCTAGGCCACCAAAATTCTTCATTAGCGGCTATGCAAAAGTTGAAAAGGATTTCACGTAAAGCAGGAGGGAAGTGAGCACAAATCGATTTTGTTTGGCATTTCGCTTATTCGTACTGGATAGTAAATTACGGTGTTGAACACAGCGGCTGAAATTGCAACTCCAGCTTCCTATGCTGAGTCCAAGAATGTGCTTGAAAAGTCAAAGAAGTGCTTTTTTATTGCGTTTCCCGGCCATGGTGATTGGTGAGGGGGCCGAAAAAGAGATTTCCACAAAAAAAGCGACTGGCTGCAGGAAACTGTAGCTACCACTGATTTCGGGGGAATTGGCTGATTGGTTCAGGCAGCCAATCGCGCCTCTTTTGGCGGAATTCGCTCGTCCAACCCTTCCAGCGATCTCCAATGCCGAAAAACGCCGATCACTTTTTCGACCTTTCAAACACTGCTCTGGACAAGGCGCATTCAGATGGCCAAGGAGGGATGAAAAGCTCGCACTTGCAGTACTCCCGAGCCTTTGAACTCTAAATGTCGCTTAGAATGCTGCAGAGATTTTGTTCAACTGAACATATCTCCGATGCAATCTGATAGAAGTTATCAAAGGCCTTGTTATTTGCAAAATTTAAATTTTTGCAAGATCATAAAATTTGGATTTTTGCAAGATCTGATCTGGTAATCTAATCTAATCTGGTACATACCAAATAGTCCAATACTGAAACTTCCAATTCAAAAGCGGGTAAAAAGTCGCTTTCTTCTTTCTATATTGGAACTGTGAACGTTTCAATGAACGTGTTCACACGTGTCACGGTAAGTGGGCGCTGCAAAGCGCTTTAGGCGTAAAAATGCCGCAATCGTAAGTGAGATGCGCGGTAGACGCCATTTCTTGCCGCCGTAAGTCAGTCGATCAATATATCGATTGCCTGACGCGCCATTTTTACTATGTAACGATGACATTCACATTTCCTTTATGATTCTACTTCTTTCCAGATGTTTGTCACGGATTACAAGCGTAATTTCAAGTGTGCTTGGCACAATGCCAAATCTTCGCCACCGGATTCAACAAATTTCAGCTTTACCGCTACCTGCGCATCAGTTCACACGTTCTCCGATAAGGCCGATGTCCTTGAAACAGCGAACTGTAAGTTTAGGTAAATGCCAATGATTGTGTAATTGTATATATGCAAGCATCTTTCAGATGTGGTTGACGAACGACCGAAAAGAGTAGCTTCACGACTTGTACAACTTTGTGATGACTTCGACAAAGAATTGTTCCACGTAAGTTTCGAAATCTTTGTAAAACATGTATTCTTCTCATATGTTGTTCTCATCATTGATTTTATTTTTAGAATGATTGCTACATCTGCCACATCCTTTCGTTACTACTAAGTCTCCTAAGTTGGCTGATCTGGTCGTAACTAGTTTCTCTTGTAAAATGTGACCAAATTTCGTGTAAAATAGTGCTGTACATATCAAGAACCCTTGTATACACACCTACTTGTATAATAAATTTGAATTCGAATAAAGTGTTCGCTGTTGATAAAGTGTTGAAGTCTTTGATTTAAGTTCGTTTTCCAGTGGCGCCGTTCTTCGTAACGTCACGGCGTGTTCTTGAAGCCGCTCAAATTTAAAATTTCAATGTGACGCGTCAAATTCATAGAAGACATGTTATAAGAGTTTGCTCAATGACGTCACTATGAAGCTGTTCATAAGTGAGCTTAGGTTGCGAAGTAAATAATGTTGTTCAAGCACTTCTATATTGGCTTTAACGTTCTTATGACGATGTGGACCCGGTGGCCCAAACACTTTCTGCTTCCAGGGACGATGTGGACCACTGGTGGCCCACACCGGTTGCAAAGTCATATTTTTTGTAGGTCTAACATTTTTCCACAAACTGATATTTTCCCAATTTTTTGCACTCTTGGAACATGTAGACTCCGTCATTCAAAAATGGTCATAGCTGTTTACAAAGCAACCTTTCATTTCGTAAATAACCACAAAACCTTTCCACGCCGAAAGTGCTGTGCAAAATCGCGTCGTCCCAGAGAAAATTAGGCATCATCGTCAATATCTTACAAGAATACTATACTTGTTAGAATACTGCGTTAATTAAATTCAAATCATAGATATCAGCGTTACGAAAATCTTGGAATAAGTAATACGTACACCAAAGGTCCGTTCAAAAAAGAGAAAATAGACTTCGAAAATAGACTCGCTAAGCTTTTGCCTATCTGTATTTAACTCTCTAGAATGTTTACCTCAAAATAAGTTTAACTTGCTGAATCAAGGAAAACATTTCGATCGTCACAACTCATATGCTTCACAAGTAAACAAGCGAGCTTAATATCAGGAGATATAGCAAAAGTGTAGTACTTACTTACTTAGATACTTAGATGGCCCGGCTTCACGTGACGTGCGGGCCCCAACTCAGAAGTCTCCATTTCTCCCTGTCCCTCGCTTCTGACATCCACGATCTTCTTGGCTGACGCCGGTGGCTGCGTCCACGAGTTCCAGGTGCAAAAATCGTTTCCAGCTGATTTCTCAGCTGGTCCATCCGTTCCACGAACACGTCTGCCCATCTCGTTGGTGGTCTTCCTCGGGGATGTTTTGCTTCGCGAGGAATCCACTCCGATGTTCTTAGTGTCCATCTGTCGTCTGTTCTTCTCATGATGTGACCGGCCCATCGATGCTTCGCTTTCGCAACGTAATCCGCTGGGTCACGAAGACGGGACATTCTCCTCATATCCGTACTGCGAAGTCCGACGAGATGTTGTTTGTGTCGGGTCATCTTCAGAAGACTACGCTCTAGCGCTCTGTGGGTAGTCCTTAAAGCTTTCGAAGTGGCGACGGTGTCAGCCCAAGTCTCAGCTGCGTAACAGAGCGCCGGGAGAACGGTTGAGTCGAACAGGTGGGCAAGAAGCTCCGGGTCCGTCAGTTGGTCGGTGGCTTCCCTCAGAGGCCCGAAGGCGGCCCAGGCTGCTCTTCTTCTCTTGTTAAGTTCTTCCCTCAATCGTTCTCCATGTTCATCGAACGTCCGAGATACACGTAAGAAGACGTCTCCGTGATAGGGGTGCCTTCCAATTCCATTTCTGCATCTTCGCAAAGGGCGTTCTTCATGAACTGAGTCTTCTTCCGATTGATTCGCAATCCGATCTTCGTCCCTACTTCGTTCAGTTCCTTCAGCATCGTCTCTGCTTCAGTGATACTGCCTGAAAAGAGAACGATATCGTCCGCAAAACGAAGGTCCGACAGGAATCTCCCATCAACTCGTATGCCTCTCTCGTCCCAGTCCAGTGACTTCATCACCCACTGCAAGGCCGCGGTGAACAGCTTCGGCGAAATTGTGTCGCCTTGTCGAACCCCCTTCCCAATTGGGATGGTCAGGGGGCGATGGAATAGCTGCATCGTCGTTGTACAGTCCTTGTAACAGTCGGCTAACGTTCTCGTAAGCTGGGTCCACTCCTTGATCGACTGGCGCAGACAGGATGGCTTTGGTTTCGACGCTGTCAAAGGCTTTCTCGTAGTCGACAAAGGTTAGGACGAGAGGCAGTCGGTATTCCCGGCAGACTTCTATGACCCTCGAAACCGTCTGGATGTGGTCCATGCAGCTGAATCCTTTGCGAAATCCTGCTTGTTCTTGGGGTTGGGCTTCATCCAGTGTCCTAGATATGCGAGCGAGGATAATTTCGTGAAAAGCTTGTACAGCACACTCAGCAGGCATATTGGACGGTAGTTCCGAAGGTCTTCCCGTTCACCCTTCTTGAAAAGAAGGACGATTCTTGATGTTCTCCACTGGTCGGGTATCCTTTCCTTCTGAAGGTAAGTTGTTAGGTGCGACGCGAGGATCTCGTGTAGACGTTGTCCTCCAGCTCGCAGAAATTCGACGGAAAGATGGTCTGATCCTGGAGCCGTGGACGTCTTCATGGTCTGAATCGCTGTGCGCACTTCAGCAGGTAGAATTCGTGGTGGTACTTCTCCAGTGGGAACAACGGGCATCGGCACGGGTGTTGATGAGCGGAAGAGGTTGGTATAGAAGTTCTTCGCGATAGATTCCATCTTGTATCGGGAAGAAGTCGGAGTCCCGTCTTCGTTCAATAGTGCAGCCAGCGGTACGTGATATTCACAGAGGTTCTTTTCGGCACTTCTTGAGACTTCGTCTTCCTTCGGCTGCTTCCAGTATCTTGGCTTGCCTGTACTTCCTGAGATCCTCCTGCAAAGCTGTTCTGCAACTGGCGTTGGCTATCAGTCGCTCGAGATGGGTTGCATTCGGATCCTGCCTCAGAAATCTTCTTCTTTCAAGCATTTCCTTGGTGGTCTTCGAAACGCGTTCAACATTCTTCTCGGAAGTCACTGAGGCGCACTCTCCGCAGGCTCGCAATCCTTTCAGAAGCCGGTCGTAGTTGTACGTTGGATCCTCCTCGATGGGCCAGTCACAACTTGATATGAGCTCCTCCAGCCTGTTACCGTCATAAACGACATTCTTCCTTCTTGCGGCACTGTGGCAGACCTTCTTTTCCAGCCTTCGACTGAATCGTACCTTCGCTCGAAGGAGGCGGTGATCGGAACCACTGCAGAAGGATGGAACTACTGAGATATCGAGCAAGCTCCTTCGGTTGGTGAGAATGTGGTCGATCTCCGCGTGGATCGTTCCGTTGGGCGATTCCCATGTCCACCGGCGATGTTCTTTCTTCATAAAGATGGAATTTCCATGGAAAAGTCGTGCGGCGGAGAGAAGCCCAACAAGACGGTTGCCGTTTTCGTTCCGGAGCCCATATCCAAACTTCCCGATCCTATATTCCTTTTCCAGTGGCATCCCGATTTTCGCGTTGAAGTCGCCCACAACAAACTTACAAAAGGACTTTTCGTTGCGGACGACCTCCTCCACATCTTCGTAGAAAGCATCTAGTTCTGATTCGTCAGCTACTGATGTTGGAGAATAGCAGTTGATGATGCTGATGGTCTTCTGATGTGGAGGTCGTAGTCGTAGGATGCCCAGTCGAGGTGATAGGATCTCGTGCGAATCGACAAGATGGACGATAGATGGGTGGACGACAAAGCCGACGCCTCCCACGTTTCGTGATGGAACCTTTTCACCACGAATGATGAGGGTCCCTTCACTCATCTGTCGCACGTCCTTCTTCCTGGACTTCGTTTTCTGCAGAGCGATGATGTGGTAGTTGATGTGCTCTGCAGCTCGAGAAGAGCGTGGAGGTCGGCGTTTGTGGAGACTGTCCTGGCGTTGTAGGTGCAGAGCATGAGGCAGTCTCCATGGCGTGTCGTCCGGGCAGACGTGTCGTTTTTGTCCAATCCGAAAGGCGCCCTGAGTACCCTGACATCGTTCTTGCTACCACCCGGCGCCGTAGGCGGGATCCGATGTACAGGGTTTTTTCTAAATCTTCTTGCTGTCTGAGTAATAAAATTTGTTCCCCTACAAGAGGTGGCTTACTAGGCCTACTCTTGATTTCCACGGGGCGATCGCTGACCCCGGGCTTGGAGCGGGGAGGGACCGCCTAGCGACCAGAAGAAGCCAGACGGCGGAGGATCTGGCGTGGCCAGTTCTTAGCTAGGCATCCGGCCGAAACCGGAAACGTCGAACTCCTTCACAGCTTGGGAGGCCCTGCCAGAGCATACACTCGGCTGTGCATCGCAGTTCGACACCCAGTGTCACCCCCACGCCACGATGAGGCGACCGACCATTGTGGGGGAAAAGTGTAGTATTGGACCTTTTCTGATGAATTATCTTAATATGAGGGTTTGGATAAAACCTCTGCCTTCACAGCGCTTATCTTCGCTCCTTGCATTTTGCGCAATAATGGATACCTTGAACAAGTATTTGGATTCTTTTGTATGAAGCACTTGCCGGCATCAACAATTGGTCAAAGTAAAAAATGGAATTGGCAGCCTCTTTCTTGATATTGGGAAAGGTCCTAAGGAGCCGGAGAAGATGGTGAGTGACGTTTTTGTAACACGCAATTGGCAGGGATATCGAGGGGGGGGGGAAGGGACGAAATTTTTTCCGATCAAAGGTCCGTGGTCTTATCCACTCCGAAAAATTTTTTGGGAGCCACGCCCAGCTGTTCTGTTTTTTTACAAGGCGAAATCATATTTTTAAAAGTTTTGAAAGTTACAATTGGTTACAAGTACAGTGTATAGGGAAGTCACTTGCACACTTTTGTAGCCATGTAAGTAACTTTTAGAAATTTCACGCATCCCCCCTCCACTCGGTCCAAAACATGCAATTTGCGCACAATAGTGGTTAAGTTCAGTATATGATCCATGATTTCTGTGCGAGCTGTTCAGCTTCGATATCCACAGAATAAAACTTAAGACTGCTTTTTTTACGCTACACATCCCAGCTCTGAGAGGATCTAGTTTCAGGTGGAAAAGCGTAAGGGCAAAGTCCACCCTGAGCTGCGCA